GGAAATCGACCCAACAGTGTATAACGGCCTGTTTTGTGCAGACAGCACTTTGGGCGAAATTGTTAAACTTGGACGTAGTACGCGTTTGGTTTGGTCAGGAGAAAGCTTCTCAAATGTTACCAGGATATTTGTTCCGCTCGTAAAGTCTGGAAACCACTGGACGCTTTTGGTAGGCTTTTTTTAAAACTTAATTGAACTGGTTTGCTGAAAGAGATAACCAACTCTTAGCAAATGTGATTAAGGAAAGGTGTATTTGAGATGAAAACAAGAACCCTAACTTTTTTTCGCGAAGGTCTTGGACAAATCGACTGCGACCAGGAACTACTTTGACCCTTTGGCAGGAGATGTCCAACGAGAAATAAGTCCCTTCATAAATCTTCCTCTCGCATCACTGTTAGATAAGATAAGGCGAGACTAAGTACTGTAGACATGACTTTTTGACTTGCCCTGTTCTGCCAACAGAAGAGCGAACATGATAGGCGTGCTGAAATTCTACTTTCAATACTTATAACAAGTGTAAAGTTATAAAGTCGTAAGTGAACAAAAACCCGTTCCATTGATTTAGAACGGTAGTCAATGTGAGAAAAAAGTAACCTTTTACTTGCTTGTCATTATATTTGTAGTGAGGTCGCAGACACCAAAACGGGCTGGCTTTCTCTATCATGGCCTTGCATCGAGCCGGTGTACTTTAAACAGAAGGATGGGTACAACTGCGGAATTCTCATCTGTCTCGTAAGTAGCTAACTCGCTATGCACCCACATGCGACTTTTAGTTTAAGTTTAATACAGAAGTTACTATGGCATGAGGTGTTAAGGTACGAAACCTTTACCCTCAAAAAATAACGAACATTACCTTTCGACATGCTAGCCGCTGGAAGAAGTGCATTTCGGCGATTATTTCAGTATACCTTAACAACCAATAGTTTCTGCCTCAAAAGGAATTTAAAGAATATTGCATATTCTTCACTCATTTTTCCCAATGACTGATTGTCATTTTCGATCGTTTCTTTCAGTTTGCAAGATGTTTATGCGAAGAATCCTCTGTAGATGCAGCTTTCGACATAGCAACCGAACGTGCGCGAATAACGTCTATGGTGTTTGGCTGTTGTTACGGTGACATCCACGAGTAAGTAACCTAAGTCACAGCTTGTTTCCAAGCTGCATATCCTTTAATCTTGCTAAGCATGAAGTTTGATCCTGATATACAGTTAAGAGTCAAAGTAAGAGTGTCATGAATATAGTATGTCTAGCGTGACACACCATACATGGTGTGTCACATGATGTGTCTACATAAGGCAAGCATGCTTCAAGTAACTTTATTTTATATCATACTTATCGTTACAGTTCATTAAACGCAAAATCCTAATATGGTGTCAGGAGTGGGATCCTGTGAAGACATTGGATCCTCCAGGAGAAGCATTTAACACGTGAGGACATACCTTTTAACCAGCAAGAGTAGGGGCGCAAATAAAGCTCAATTATATCGAAGATTCGCAAAAAACATGGCCGATCGATTCAAACCACCGTCTATGGATTGGACCACCCCAGGGGACATTCACAAGCGTTTCAAACTCTTCTAGCAGAAATACGGACTCGTTTTCGCAGGACCACTTGACAAAGTTGAAGAGGCGAAAAAGGTGAGATTGCTGCTGTTATGGATTGGCGACTGAGGCCTCGAAATCTATAATACGACCACGTGTGCCAGCGATGGCGACAACCTCAAAATCGTCCCAGTTATGGCGGCGCTTGAAGCTTATACAAAGCCCCAAAATAATCATATCCTCGCTAGGTATCAACTCCGATGCCTAAGGCAGGGAGACAGACCACTTGAAGAATTCGTAACCGAAGCGCGGCTATTAATAGAAGATGGCGGATACGATCCTGCCGTTAAAGAAAGAACCCTCCGAGACACACTTGTACTTGGTGTGACATCTGATAAAGTAATCAAAGATGCGATAGCACTCGGCAACCAGCTAACCTTCAAGCAAGTCTACGACCTAGCAAAGGTTGAGGAAAGCACTAAAGCCCATATGAAAATAATTAGCAAAGGCGAAGAGAAATCAGACCTTCACGCAGTTGATAGAAGACCCGCCCGTCCGACTAAAAACACTTCAGTTCACACACCAAACTCCCCACCACGACCAAAGCCAAAGAGATCCTCCAAGCAGAAAACCTCGCCGATTGCAGTTCAAATCAAAAGGGTGCTTCAGATGCGGAAACACTCATGACGAACAAGCAAGTTTCTCTGCAAAAAATTCAAAATGCAAGCACTGCAGCAAGACCGGCCACTACGCAGGAGCGTGCATGCAACAACGCCTCCAAAAGGTCCATCAAATCGTGAGTACCCAGAGTATCAGGGCCAAGACATCCACCTAAAGGATGAGTATCCCCACAAGGAAGGTTACGCTTACGCTCGTGATGAAAGCTCAGACGATCGAGGAAACTAGCGACACAGAACCCATTACTGTGTTCTTCGGAACTCTCCCTTCAGCAAAGGGCCGACAAACCCAAGGAATTTCACTTAACGCTATCAATAGCCACCCAGACAAAATCTTCGCCAAAGTCACGATTAACGAACGCCACGACATGAGCCTTAAAATAGATACGGGGGCGGACGCCTGCATAATCACCACCACAGACCTCCAACACTTCCCCTTCCCAATCGCCATCGCTCTATGCAATAACGTTCTTAGAGGCTATGGAGGTTCTGAGATAGAAAACCTTGGAGTCACCACATTAAAGGTCTCTTTCAAGGACAAGACAGCCGATATTAGATTCAACATTGTGGAAGCCCCAGAAAGCTCATCCATGCTGGGGTGCCGAAAGAGCCAAGACCTGGGAATAATATCAACAAACTTATATGAAGTGAAGGTGTAGTCTGATCGTCCGGGTGAGTGTAGTCCTGAGAAGGACTGTTGTCGGTGGTAGTGACTGACGTTTCGACAACCTGTGCGGAAGTCATCATCAGAGTCAACTTATATGAAGTTAGCACCATCTCCCCAACCAGGACCGAAACGGAGGCACAACGTGGTCAGCTATCCAAACTGACTGTCCTGGAAGAATAGCAAGATTGCTTCGACAAGCTGGGCTGCTTTCCAGGAGAGAAGTACCATATTCAGCTAATTCACCACCCCGTTCCAGTCATCCACCCGCCACGCACCGTTCCAGTACACATACTACCCTTATACAAAGAGGAACTCAGCAACATGATTGCCGACGGCGTCATCACAGCCGTAACCCAACCAACTGACTGGGCAAACTCAATCGTATGTAACATCAGAAAAACTCCCGAGGGCAAGAGAAAGATCAGATTTTGCCTCGACCCCAAGGAACTCAATAAGAACATACGCCGAGAGCACTACTACACCCACACCATCGATGAACTCCTGCCGCAGCTACATGGTAAGAAGTTCTTTTCCGTGGTCGACACGAAGAAAGGTTATTGCTATGTGGCCTTAGACCACGAGTCAAGTTTGTTGTGCACATTTAACACCCCCTTCGGACGTTACCGTTTCAGACGTTTCCCTTTCGGGATCACGCTCTCCCAAGACATCTTCCAACGCAAGCTCGATGAAGTCTACAGGGGCATCCCCAATGTAATGGGGATTGCAGACGACATCTTCGTATGTGGTTCAACCGAAGCAGAGCACGATCAAGCCTTCCGCGAAATGCTCAAGGCTACTCGTAAAAACAATGTCAGCCTAAATTCTGAAAAGCTACAGTTCAAGCAGACACTAGTCACTTTCTACGGACACACCCTGACAGAGAATGGGTTACAATCAGCAAAAGAGAAACTTGAGGCAATTCGCAATATAAAGAGCCCGTCAAACACAGGGGAGCTTCAGACTATTTTGGCGATAATCACTTACCTGAACCGTTTCTCGACAAAGTTGACAGACCTCACATCACCACTAAGAGAACTAACCAAAAAGCACGTGCGTTTCAGCTGTGAACTCCACCATCAACAGGCTCTCGATAAAATCGAGCAAGAACTCTGCACATCCCAACTTATCTCTTATTGTGACCCAGAACCGAATACACCCACAATCCTTCAGTGTGACTCAAGCAAAACAGGCATCGGGGCCTGACTGAGGCAGTTGGATTCCCAAGGAAATGAGCGCATCGTTGCGATGGCGTCCTGGTCACTCACAGACGCTGATTCAAGATATTCAAATCTTGAGCATGAATGCCTGGCAGTTACCTATGGATTGGAAAAGTTTGAGAACTACCTACTCGGCCGAACGTAATCGTCGAAACTGACCATTCCCCTTTGGAACAAATTTTAAAGAAGAACATCAATGAGGCCCCGAGCCGGTTGCAGAGACCGCTCCTTAGATCGATGCTTACGATTTGACGTCAATGTGCAGTGCAGGCAAGGAAGGACCATTCCAGTCGCTGACGCCCTAGCGCGAGTTTGCCACAAGAAAATCACACCCTCTGCCAAAAATATGACGGAAGACTCCATACCACAGCGTAATATCCACTTCACATCCACCCCTATTGACCTGACAGCAGTGAAATCCTCTACCACATTAGATCCTACAATGAACCTACTGAAGGATATCATCTTCAGTGGCTGGCCCCCCTACAGAAAGCAATGCCCGTAGGAACTATGGGAATTTTGGTTCTTTCGGTGCGACCTCACAGTAGAAGATGGCCTAGTACTCAAAGGTGACAGGATCGTTGTCCCACCAACCATGAGAAATGAAGTCCTCCAAGCAATCCACCAAGGGCATCAAGGAGAGAACAAATGTATTCTTCGAGCTAGAGAATCGGTGTTCTGGCCCGGCAACTCCACTGACATCAGGCAGATGGTGAAGACCTGCGACCCATGTAACAAGCACCAACCAACTCAGCCAAAACTACCCCTCATACAACCAGACCTCCCTACCCGGCCATGGGAAAAACTCGGTACAGACATTTTTTAATTCAACGGGGCGAAATACTTAATGGTCGTTGATTACTTTTCAAGATTTCCCTTGATAAGACTCCTCAACAACATGACCAGTCACACTGTGTGCAACCACTTCGCAAGCATCCTAGCAGAATACGGCTTATCAACCCCTATCGTTGCTGACTTCGGATCTCAATACATCAGTGAAAGGTTCCAATCAAAATGCAAAGAAAGCGGCATCACATTATGTTGCAGTTCCCCATACCATCATCAAGCCAACAGCCTGGCAGAAAGAGCAATTGGAACCTGCAAGTCGCTATTGTTGAAAGCACTAGAGGAGAAAGAATGCCCGTACACAGCCCTATGGACGTACCGAATGACTCCTCTTGATGACCAAACACCATCACCCTACGAATATCTGTTTGGACGCAAACCCCAAACAACACTCCCAGACCGAAGAAGTGCGCTGAAGTCCAAACACCCAAATAATGAGCTCCACCGGGAAGCTAACCAGGGACGACAAGAAAAGCAGGTAATATTCTACAACAGAAAGGCCGGCAGTGACAAGCGACCCCTTACCAACCGGGAATCATTATTTGTCTGGAACACCTTCAAGAATATCTGGCAGCCAGGAACCGTGCTGAATAGGCCAAAACCAACAGAACGCCCTCGAACTTACGCAGTAGACATCCAAGGAACAATCTACCAGAGGACTAGGGAACATCTAAGACCAAGGAATCAGAGCGAAACACATGTAACCCCACCAACCGGTAGCAACCTTCCACTTACAGTGGCCCCGGTACACAGCCCCAGGGATACACGTGCGTCCAATGCCAGAACAAACAGCCCCCCTTAGCCGGCAGAAGCCAGCCCTGAAAACAGCCATTAAGAACACAGTATTTTTCGCTCAGTTTACTTAGGTTTCTAGATCATATGTACTTGTGCGTACTTGAAAAAATGACCACGCTACGCGCCTGGTATTACGTTAGAAAAAATTGACTCAACGCTGCAAGGAGAATCTCTCTCGGACTTTACTTTTTAAGAGACGAAGTTACCGTCTAAAATTCAAACATTACTGTTAGGTTTATTGGCACATTGCCAACCTTGTAAATTAGCTCAAACATACAGAAAACATTTGTATTAGCTTTTGTCAGCTTTTGTATATCTTTTTATTATGTGGCTGTGTCTCACAAGGACTGTGAACTACCGAATTCACGAATTTGATTGGCTGAAATCAATATTGAAAGCGGTCTAGATTTTCCCATCTAGACCGGCATCTAGAACTGTCTAGAAAAAAAAGGTACAAAGAATATAAAAAATTGGCATATAAGACACAGCCACATAATAACAGCTCCGACGCAGGGCTAACGCTCGAAACGTCAGCTTTTATAATCGTAACGGTGGCCAACTTCCCATTTCAACTTTGGTGATAGGTTTCAAATTATTTCGTTACCCCCACCGACGCAGCCCCAAACAGTTTCTTTAGAAACTATCAGCCTTTATTCATATAATAAACATCTTATTAACCGAGCTAGGTCGGTCTGTAGGGGAGAATCTTGACCTCGGTCGCTCTGTACTGGCNGTTGTTGTATTTTTAGTAGAATAAGTGTGAATAAAAGAATGAATGAATGAATGATTGAATACACATTCCGGATTTGAACTTTGCGTGGGGAATAAGTGCTACTGCTTACATAAGGTATTTTTAACGACCGCTGTACTATAAATTTGTGTGTTCGACCCTCGACGAACGCCTTCGATCCTTCGAGATAGCGTTACCGAGCGTTACCCGTGTCACACCCTAGAGCCTCATCAAAGAGGCTAGAAGGGCGTTATCATCATAATTTCTTGCTGCTACTTTTACTGTGAGTCAGCCGAACCATAGCATTTGTTGATGCTCAACTCAACGCGTCCAACATGATGAGCACAACATTTGCCACAATTTTCGTGTTGGCAATTTCGTATGTAACGATGTGCACTGCATATGAAGACGACAAAGAACCGATTTGGAATTTTGACGACATCCTATCCCAGAGATCTCATGCTGAAAAGCAGCAAGATAGAGATGAGTCATCAGAAATTTTGAAATTCGCCTTGCCCGGTGTCCACCCGACGAAGGTAAAGAGAGCAGTGCGGTCTGGTTTATCAATGGTTTCTCGAAATTCAAACAGTGAGGGGTTCAATAGTCGTGAAATTTTATGTAAATGAAGTGTTTGTCTTCATTACATGCACGAAATATATCACTCGTTTCCTGGCAAGATTTATGTACATCCTCATATTTGATCGATGTCGTTATCTGGCTGTTTATCTGTTATTATTACTTTTTTTTATCGAAATTGGAAGTAATGCTTAAGAAAGAAATATTTTCGTTTCGTTTACTTTGTCGGGAACGAGTTGTTACAAGTTTGGACTATGGAGGAGACTAGGACGAGCTCAAGTTGCCCCTAAACTTCAGAATACCCAGCCACTCATTTAGTATATATTATTTTAATTTATACAGGATAGCCCCTTCAGTGAAGTAAACACTGGTATCAACGGGGGTCCTGTTACCCACCCATCCCACCCGTGGGG